TTTCGACTAGGTTGAGAGGTAAATACCTTTATTTGCCATAATATTATTCGTGTTAAGACCCGGTTAATAATTTAAATAATGTATATTAAACACGAAAGTTTAAAATTCATATGATTTCGTCCTCAGGAAACGAGAGATATTGTCAGAGATATTCCGATATTCCTGTTGTCACAAATTAATTCTTTCGTTACAATATGTTTTATTTTCTTATATATATATTTTATTCATGTAGATTAAATTTAAGTTTGTCATTTTTCATAAGGTTAACCATCAACTTGGCATACTACTGACATTATAAGAAACATCTCAAGTGGCGACTATGAGAAAAAAATGTACTACAGAAATAAAATCTTATATGAAGTTCGTGAGCAATTAGCAAACTTATATTATCTTTATGTGGTGAGAGATTTAGGTTTAATATAAATTAATAATAAACACAAGATGTCCAGCGGTTTACTCAGTTTTTGTTTTCGCGCGACATAATAATTTTTATTCATAAGTGTAATATATATATACATATGTCCCTTCTTTGTTGCCATCTTTGATATAAAAGATACACAAAAGTTTAAAAGTTAGCAGTTAAGTCAAATATAATAATACATATGTTTTGCTTTTAAGAATATATGTTTATGTATGTATATTTAAAACCAAAATAAAAAGAATCATAAAAGCCAACATACTAACCTACCTACTGACATAAATAATAAAATAGTAATATATTTATTTATTCAGTAATGAGGTAAGTATATTAACTGTCTATAAGCTCATTAACTACTTATAATTATTTTTATTTTCTTATTAGAAAGCTCAAAACCCTTTAATAGCCGCACGAAATATTTGCGTGATCCCAAAATGCTAATTCACGCAGGAAATATAATAAGTATGTAGAATTATTAAACGAATATTCATGAATATTAATGATTTAACACAATTTACTTTTAATGTGACTAATAAAGTCCGGAAATCCAATTTGAACTCCATTTTGCACCTCGTCAATTTGTGGCTTGGTGTATGTTACAAAATAAAATAACCATTTCGGCATTTCTTTACTGTTACTACTATTATTTATTACTTTAGTTTAATATTTTTGCGCACTGAAACTAAGTAAATATGACGATCTTATAAATAAATTAACGTAAAGCTATAATATGGTTCTGATGATTTATCATCTTTAGCTTCAAGTGCTGTATTAAATCTCTTCATATCTTCGCGATACATTATTAAATCTTCGTATAATCGCGAAAAATCTCTGTGACTTGTCCAGAATGGCAGTAAGTTCTATACCAGAATAAGCTGAGCCGTATATTTGTTACCCACCAAAAAAATTGTTTCGAGAACTATTCAACGTTTCTCTCCCACCCACACGATGGACCCGGCACCAGCCTGATAATACGTGTAACTTCTAAAAAGTTAATGTCTCTTGTAAGTAATTTTAAATCTTTATTTGTTTATACACACTTTGAGAATATAAATATGTACTAATTTTGTATTTCTTCATCATTACATTACATAGTATAAAACAAAGTCGCTGTCGCTGTCTGTCCGTCCCTATGTATATATCTTTAAAACTACGCAACGGATTTTGGAGCGGTTTTTTTAATAGATAGAGTGATTCAAGAGGAAGGTTTATATGTATAGTACATGTACACTCGGACGAGGCCGGGGTGAGTAGCTAGTGTATAGTATACATTTAATAATTATGTACAGTTGTCTTTTATTACACATTAACAATACGGATCAATTAAATAAGGTACATAATAATTGTCTATGCCACTTAATCTTCAACTCTTCTATACTCTACTTAGTACATATTATATTACTATCACATAGTAATATAATTTATTAAAGTTTGCATAAATGTACAAGTGAAGTTTACCTACCATATTTTTCAATTGACAGTACCTTTATACTACGTAAAAATAATGTATATGTATCCGTAATAATTATATGTAAAAAATTGACAACAAATAAAATAGTTCGATAAGAATTACAATATAAATAAAATTTAATTCCTAAATTCATGAAATATGTAGATAAAAACAGACAGAGTCTAAATATAAAAATCCTTTTAAAATTCTCAGTTACATATTTATCCAGTTAAAGAAATGAGACCCATGACATTTTGATGAATAGCGACCTCAAAACCGTCCTTACAACCGCATCTTAAAATTCAAATCCAAATTCTAAGATGAAATATAATATGTACACGGGGGAAAATCAAGATGTTAAATTTGCCTTGCGACATTCTGATATATCAAAGGGCAAAGGTGGAGGCAGAACCAACAAATCGTATGCTAAAAGTCCTTCATCAACTCTTGTAACAGGATATTTACTTAGGATTAGCAATTCCGTTAACAAATCCCTCGGATAGCGCACTTGAATTCACCCGAATACGTCAAGATTTACACATTACCCTCGCTTATGTAAGTCTAAATTGGTGCAAACTATTTAATTGGAAGCTTGGACCACTATCCGTCGCTTTAATAAGACAATCCAACTTCGGTTACATATACAGTTTGTATTTCTGTGAACTCCTAATTGGCAAAATTTTGCGAGTGTCAATGTAATTTTGACATTTCAATATAATATACACTAAACGAACTAACAAACCAATTAAAAACTATAATTGAGGTAACAAGCACATATCGAAAACAATATATATATGTTATATGGAATCTGTGTTATATATAAAATTATCGTATCGCAATGATAGTTCTCCGATACGTCTTGACCGATTTTTATGAAATTTTATACGCATATTTAGTAGATCTGAGTATCGGATACTATCTATTTTTCATACCCCTAAGTGATAAGGGTTATCAACATTTATTAACATTAACCCTAACATTTTTATTATATTTTTTTGATACCTAATGGTGGCCTCAGTGGTTTAGCGCTTTAGCACGCCGCTTTCCCGATAGTCGGGGGTTCCTCGCACGACGCAAACGTTTGTAATTCATGAGTATGAGTGGTTGTAGCAATCTGGGTGTTTCCATATACATAGGTGATGTGCATATAAATAAGCTGTCTAGTACCCATTACACAAGCACTGCTTAGCTTGAGACTAGATAGCGCTGATAAACTGTAAACTGCGATTTGTCCTGGGTTAATATTATTATTTTAAATTTTACTTATACAGTGAACTAAAAGGGGTATAAGATTACTATTGAATTAGAACTGAAGAATTAGGTACTTGTGATAATTATAATGGAAATTGATAACTCTTACAGCAAAATATTTAACATTTAATGTTAGATTTAATTGGATGTCGTTTTTAGGATTACCAATCAAATTCACATAAACGAAGTTTTGATGTTCATTATATACGAAAAATATTGATTATACATATATATATCTTTTTCAATATTTATGGAAATATGTATCAATACATATCTAAACTTGTAATAAAACGCGTGTACCGTCCAAGATTTTAATATGAATAATTTCGTATTTATTCTTATTTATGTATAAGATATTTCACTCAAATTTATAAGGAATGAGGAGCTCGCGTTCTAAAATAGGGATATCCTAAATTTTAATTTAGATTAGCAAAGTAATCATTAAAGCAGACTTGATACTCAGTAGACGAACTTAAGTAACAAATTTCACTGAATTAACTTGGGGCTGTTTGGGTTCTTTAAGGCTATGTCTCCGGATGTTAGTTGTTTGAGAGCTTACTCAGAAATTATAAACTCGAATGTTGGGATTGGAGCGATACTCGATCGAATTACTTTAGTAGATTGAAATTTTAATCAATTAATCAAAATGATTTAGAGTGCAATACAGTAAGCATAAAACAAATTATATTCTCTTTATCACAATATATAATTTTAACGCATTTTTAGTTTAGAATGTTATTTGTGAGCAACAATGAGCTTATCTCTGAAAGAAATCTCTTCCAGTCAACCTAACAGTGTGGCTAATAGCATTATTATAAATTTATTAATTTAATAAAAGGGCCATATCAATGCAATTAATTATTAAATTTGTAGAAGAAAACCTCTAAAATATTTGGATCTGTCATTTCGTAATAATGACAATGGTTCTTTGTGTATACGTTAACTAACTAATACTTAAGCATTACTTATAAGTATCGGAAGCGTAAATAATATATAGGTATTATGATTAATATAATTAATTAATTATCTATACTGAAGATATAATATATATTATATCATTCATCAGTCAACTTGGAAGCATCATAAAAAGAAAGAAATTGGCATGAATAGAGAATCAAATGCTATAGCAATCCGACGCGGAAAATACGTTTCAAGCAATCGGCTTTTCCACAATAAAAGGTATCATTTCATTTCCCCAGGTGTACTATAATGCGTGTGGGGTGTGGGTTCTGAGTTCGGTGGCCGATTCACGTCACGTGCGACAAGCACTTGACAGAAGGTATGGAAGTACATACCCTAATCTCGGCCCGTAGACCTGAGGGCTTGGCAGGTGAGATAGTGTTGGTTTTCTGGAATTCAGGGCTCAGTGAAATGGAACAATTTGAAAAAAGTTTATTGCAATAACTATTTTTAGACTTTAACCTACATAAATGTTATAAATTTTGAATTTCGAAGTACAATTGTTTTATTTTATTGGTTTGTCCCTATTCGTCTCTTATGTTTTTATAAGTGGAATGGTAAATTGGCTGCCTAGTAATATGTGATAATCATCGCCTACATACACGAAGAGCGCTACGGACTACTCCTCACGCACTACCATTTCTCTGTACCCCCTTGTACATCTCTGTACCCTGTAATATGGTTTTATATTACAGGTATAAAATCTGGTTTTATATTTTATATTTCATTCCCCAACCGAAACACTGCATACAAAGACGATATTTTGAGGTTAGCAGAAATGAAAGAATCGATGCAGATGACTTTGTACAAAGTTTACTTCTGGTTCACGATAGTGCTAGCGGCTGTTGGGCCGCCGTAAACCGTTTTAGCGCAGGCGGTGTACCATTCCATCATCATACATTAAGAAAAATAAGAACTTACCTATTTTAGCATGTGTACAAGTGAAGGAGATGACACATATTAGCGTCACTACCAGATTAGCGATCTCCATGTTGACCACATACACTTAAGTCACTCGCATTTTCACTATATCAATGTTCGCTCATATCTGAAAAGAATAAATAAATATTTTCAATAAACAAAATTAAAGATGGTTCAATTCTTCCTAAATAATCTAACATTTAAAATTCTCGTGTAACAATGTTAGTTACCATACTCCTCCGACAATAGATTTTTATGTAATTTTATATGTGTATTCCGTACGTCTCAGAATCAGCTACTATATATGTTTTATACTCCTGAGTGATAGGGGTCATTGACATTTTTCTATATTAGAATTATTAGTCTAGGACTATTACTAATAATCCTCTATAGCAATGTCTCCCAAAGTTTTTAGTACCATACTCCTTTCCTAAATTCTTATGCCCCCCCCCTCCTCCATGAACCATACATAATTTATAGCATTAAAAAAAATGTCGTTAACATAAAAAACTCAATTAATAAGTTTTAGGAAGAAGTTGTTAATGAAACAGTAAACAAATTTTCAATATAGAATGAAACATTAAAATTCACATCCCATATAGTTTTAATTAAGAGTCCATTTTTGAATTGCCCTCCTGTGGAGCGTGGGCAACACGTGAGACACTGCTCTATAGACATATACTAATTACATATACTGGACACATTTGACTACCCAGACGTATCGTAAATACTGTTATAAATAATATATATATGTGGTATTAATATTGTTGGTCAAAAATATAAACCTCATTTACTTCCCCATATTCCTTCATATTGGACCACTATACAAAATATCTTTATTCATGTAGGTTAATATACCAGGCTCTTATGATATGTCAAAACTACCGTCAGTTCAGAATGATTCGAGACGAGAAGAACTGACAAGAAACTCAGCTCGTATTCTTTTCAAATAAATATTGTACATGTTTGCAATATATATTATAAAATGTTTCCAATAGCACTTCTATTCAGAACAGCGATTTTTCCTTAACATTTATATTAGATCGCACTACAACCGTTGGTTTGTTTGAAAAAGGTCATATAAAAAGTTATTTTTACATGTTACTTTACGTATATGCAATACTAGTGGGGTTGCCTTTGTCACCGAACCTTTTATCTTTTTTCTTTTTATTTTGTAGGCCTTTGTTTGTCACGGTGCGGGCTTGGCAGCGATTTACCAATTTCCCAAAATCAAAATGGAACTGTTATTAGGGATGGTGTTCCATTACTGCACATTCCTGCCTTTTATGTCTTTTATTGACAGACTCGGTGGTTTAGTAGTTTAGCATACGGCTTTACTATCCGATGGTCACAGGTTCAATTTCTCGCACGGTACAAACATTTGTATTCATGAGTAAGATTGTTTGTATCGGTCTGGGTGTTTTCAATGTATAATATGTATTTAGTTACAAAAAAATGCATTCATTTATACCAGTTGTCTAGTACTCACAAGCTCTAGCTTAGTTTGGAACTAGATGGCGTTGTATGAATTGCCCTAAGATATTATTATTATTGTCTTTTTAACTCAGCTTTTGATGATTTTTTACGTTTTACGGCATAAACCACACTTACGGGCCGAAACCAAGTAAGTGCAGTCTATGTGTATGTCCGTGTATTATTATTATTTTACAAAAATAATTATAATTATCATTGTTATTATTATTATTATGTCTGTTATATGGGTTTGTATACGTGTACCAATTATATTTGAATACATAAATAGACTTTATGACATATGACTATATTTATTGGTTGGTTAATTAATCTTTGAAAACTTACAAGACAAAAACAAGTCGAAATAAATCTTATACCATATAGCCCAAACGAAATAGTGGACTGAATCCTTCTCTTATAATGTGCATAATCGTGTGACTATTGTTACCTTAATATACATACATATACATATATAATTCTTCTATACTTCTGTTTGTTACCTAATTCTTCCATAACGGCTTGTTCACCTTAGATGAAATTTTAAACTTAAATAGATTCCTGGATGATTGGAAAACACTACAATTGGTATATGGCGTTGCTTTTCCAGGGCAGGAAGACATCGGATTCTCTAGTGGATTTATAATGTTAATTAAATTGGGCATGTTCTTAATCTTTCTAAAATAAATTTCATTTAAATAATGTCAATTTATTTAGTCAACTAGCTGTCCAAACGACCAAACGTTGTTTTGCCATATAAATTTCAGTACTAATATCACTATTAAAAATAGGGGTTAGAGTTTAGAGTTGTATGTATTTAATTTAGAATTTAATTATAGAAAAATAAATATTGCTTAAAAAAAATGTTAGGTACGAACAACTATTATCATTTAGGGGTGTGAAATAAAATAAAACTGAAATTAAAAAAAAAATCGGTCAAGCTGTTTCGGAGGAGTACGTACGGTAACTAACATTGTGACACGAGAAATTTATATATAAGATTAATAGATATTTTCAGCAATAAATCTTCATTATTGTAATTATATATGTAATTATACTTTTATATATTATTTACGTGTCCTTCATTTATGTATAAACGAAATAAACATTCTAAATATCTATTATTTTTATTCCTACACCTCGACCGGACGTAAGCGTAATTACTTCGTCTTGATGAGATAGCCATTTAGCAATAAGGCCGCCCATTGTTGCCTCTTTTTTACCTCGTTTCTTGTTATGCTGTGTTTTTATCCCGCCTATGTAGTACCACAGATAACATAATATGTAGTACTTAATATATAACTATTTCTTACGAAGTGGTGGAACAAAGATTTTTCATAGAGTCGTTCAATTTTCTATGAAGGCATCTCTTTATAGGAAATACAGTTGCATGAAGACGTTCTCTTTTAGTCTCTTTAGCATATTTTCCATCTCAGTTGCAGTCCTTTGATCCCATTAGGGTGCACCTCCAGTAAATAATTTGTTTGTCTAAGAGCTAACCAAAGATTTTATATAATCAGTAATTTAAAAAAATGTACCTCAATTCAGGTCTATGTAATTTAATTAAAATATTTACATATATAATTACATAGTATAAAATGACGCAACGGATTTTGAAGCGGTTTTTTTTAATAGATGGAGTGATTCTATAGGAAGGTTTATGTATATAATACATGTATACTCGGGCGAAGCCGTGGCGAGTATTATATATAATACTAGCGTATTATATATAATACATCTTTACTTTTAAAAAAAAAGGTTAATAGAACTATGTGTTTAAATGACAAAGCGATATTTCATTTAAATTATGATCTGAATTATATATGCTGTTTAAACACGCAAAACCGTACCATTTATTTGTTAATAGAAGTATGTGTGTATTATTACACATATATATATTTGTTATTATTTAAGATTTAGTTATACGAAAATCTAATTGAAACAATTATGTCGAAGAAAATTATGACAAAATTCATATATAGCATATAGTAGAATCAATTGCAAAAATATGTATTATACTTTCGTGAATTATATAACAGGTAACACACAAATGAACATTCCCTTTTAAAAATTGGCTGAACAGAATCTTCTAACATTAATTGTACCGCCATCTCTTCGACTATATGAAGCACATAGTTCGTTTGAAATGACACGACACACGGAAATGACATATCGGAGCTAGACGAGCGAGAAAATGTGACACGTCACGCGCGAAACCGTTTGTAAAGTGACGTGAGGCCATTGTAAAGGCGAGTCCAGAGCGAACACGTTATTATTAAACAAATAATCATATATACAGAACTGAGAATTCAAACAGTGTTAATTATAGCGTTGTGACTATTATAAAGTTACTTCTTAACTATGAATAATACTACTGTTATCGCCACTCGATGACATCAAGATGGTTTTAAGGTTTATAAAAAAAAAGTTAGTTATTTTTTATTTTAAACAATTTACAATAAATACCACAACACTACGGCCCTCGATCCTCGATCTATTACGTGACTTCATATTACCGGCATGCACTGTAACTTCATTTCAATTATTTAAAGTTTTTCCGAAGATATGTATATATGTATCTATCTAATAAAAGTATAGGCCCATAAAATGTTAATAGAATTTTTAAATTGCAGCTTCTTAAAAAGATATACATAGAAACACTATAATTATCTTGCAAATATTATAAACGCGAAAGTTAGTGAGTATGGATAAACGGATGAATGGATGTTACTCGTTCAAGCAAAAACTACACAATAGATTTTGAGGTAACTGTACAGTAATACACAGAATAACACATACGCTATTCATGTGAGTGAAACACGCGGGTAAACAATAATTCAATAATAATAATACAATTTTTTTTCATATTGCGACTAATACCAATTTCTAATAGACCTACCGCTTAGTGATTAGTTAGTTAAATAGTTCCTTATAATTTAGCTAAATATCGCAGTAAATTAATTGGAATATTATCAATTAATTACGATAATTGAGTATATTTCTTTAATATTTTGCTGAAGTTAATCTCTGAACTATAACACTTACGCTGTACACTTGCCTTAAGAATTAGACATCCTTCACAGGATGTCAGCACAAAGGTTGTTAAATTCTCAAATTTTATGCGGACTTGCGAAGGGGCTTCTTGTGAATTAATGGTTCACTTTGAGATGCGTAAGGAGTATTTGTTAGGAAAAGACGTATTTCAGATTCGCTTTCAGTTTAATGAGATTACGTGTTATAAAGTAATTTCACTGACTTGTAATGGATTTGATTAAGTAATAGCTTCTGATAGTAATGTATGTGTATGATTCTATATAAAAATTACTGAGGATGTATCGATGTCAAAATGTATTTTTTTTTTATAAAGCAATGGATGGGGGATGGTCAGAACTGTTTATTATTGATACTAAGTATGAATATGCTATAAAGTGAAAAATTGATCTGAACAGTCACAGTAGCAATCAAGATTTTTTTTTAATTTTCTCCATTTTTCGATTCTTCTATCTGTAGGAACATTTTTCAAAGCATTACAAACTAATAAATAGATTAAAAAAATCAGTGATTAACTTCACTTCACACTTCAACTTTTAAATAAAGTGAACTAAATATATATTTTTTTTAATTTTTAAAACAAAGTCGCTATCGTTTTCTTATCAT